GTAATATTAGTCTTTTTTTAAATACCTAGCTTAGGCCTGGGATAGATCGTAGCATGCATTATCATAAAGAAAAGACCATGTAAAATATATTTATTCTCCTTTAATCCTCCTTTTCTAATACAACGGCCAATCCACCTCGTTTGTTGTTCTGTTATTCGTTTTATGTGTCTTTCCCCTTCTAACTGGATCAAATTGTCATCATTTCTCATATGTTCTGTGTTTTGTAATTTCCATAAAATTTTCCTCCGCACCATAATTCAAATGCATTTATCTTTTTAACTCCTCTTTACTAACAACTTAACCGTTCGTTTTTCTTGTTTCAAGCACTTCTATGAGCAGGGACTCTCTATATATAATCTATAAATCAGTAGATGAATTACCCCCTTGTCTAACACTTCTGCAATTGTGTTGGTTCAGATAATCATCACTGATGCATTGATTGATATCGGGATCCGTACTTCCTTCCTTGGAAAATTTTGTTTCTGTTGTGTAGATTCCAGAATGCGCTCGCCTATCTTTACAACAATCAAATATATGTTTTTAGTTCCATCTTATTAAATTGATTTTATTCTTTAGACTTTTTAAAATTTACATATTTGTTAATGCAATTTTATACAAGTGTAATTATGAAATTCAATATAATATTGTACCGTGTATTATACGCTATGATTAGACTAAAAAAAGAAGAAATATATTGTGTTGCTCTCTGCGACCGACAAAAAAAACCCCGATAAATTGGGTTTTTTTGATCGAAGGTCTTCCTTTTACTCAAGTACAATGAAATTAACATTTACAACATGAATTCTAAAACAAACATGTATTTTTACTAAAATTGGGCAATAGCGCAGACTTAGAATCGGTAAAATAGAAGGCATAGGCTAATTTTGAGAACCGAGCACGATGACGGTGACGATGTATGCAGGATCGTCGGATCTCTCGCTCTACGACCAGATCTAGACCTAGTCTATTCTTTACTACTGGACAACTAGTGGTTGCCGTAATCAAAATTCGTATTCATTACCACATTGTATATTAGACAATGAATAAATACACACGGGTCTAGCCATCGTTTAAAGCCGGTACATAGACCTAGGCTCCGTTTATGCCAACCATAAACGAAATATTTATCTTACTTTTTTCTCGAAGTTCACTTCATTCGTATTACATAGAGGACGCTTGCAGGAGCGGAGACCTAAACATATTCTCACGCAGACTGAAACACCACCTTCTCCTCCAACTTTATACGTATTTCCCTTGTTATACAGAATCAAATACACTCATAAACTCGTATTCGCTTCTTTGGTATCATATTTTACTTTTAATAATATTTATTGATAATAGTCCTATATAACTATTTAAAAAAAAAACAAATAAGGACCGCATGCCATACGAATGATATTAAAATGAAATGCGAATAATTTGACTGCCATTCAACATAGATCATATCAGGTTCACATGGCGTTACGTACCATAATTATGTGTTTACGCTGTTGATGGTTAGCGGCAAAAGAAATTACTCCTAAAAGGCTGGCTTGTACATCTTTTTCTCACTCTTTTACTCTTTCTGTATGCATTTTAAAATCACAAAGTATAGCATACGAGTACTAATTAATGATTATTATCAGGGGGTTATTTTTTCATTTCTTAAGGTCTGGGTTTTCGTGGTCTGAGGTCTTATGTCCTAGTTTTCTTTTTCTTTATGTATTTTCAGGAAGTAATTTATTTAATATTGTAAATGAGTTATTCGTTTGATACTTTCTTTTGTTTAAAATTTGAGAATTTTACGGATTTAAGTCAGACGGTATATTAATTTTCTTCTCTGCATGGTATGTCATTCGTTTTTTTTATGCTAAAGTCAGCATATTTTTGAATAAACATTCGTTAATGAAGCAGACATTATTTTTTGATTGAATTTGTTTAGAATCGCCATACAGTATTTAATTTAACATCATCACAAATTTCTAATAGTTAAAATAGTTTTTAATTAAACAATATTGCTTTCTTTTGACATTTTTTTTATTATGTGTGGTATTATATTTTTTTAATAAGTAAACTACATGGCTTATTTTATTTTGCCTTTTGCTTTAAAATCTGAATTTCAGATATTCTTTTGCTTCAATTTCAAACCAGGTGCTGGATATGTTGGTTTTTTTTTTGTTCACTCTTTTGTGGGCTCATCCCACTTTTATTCGTCAATTCAGTAGCACATTTTAACAGCATGTATCGCTCATTAACATCAACATTTTACATGATACAAAAATGGAGTTCTGGTATAAAAAAAAAAGCTTTCTTTTCATGTACAAATATAATAATTTGATTTTTGGAAGAAAAATTAAAACCATTTTTTCATATTTTCCGTGTTAAAAAAAAGGGTGAAAAGCGACTTATGGTTCCACTTGTAACTTTAACTTTAATTTCCCATGTTAAAAGCCAGTCAACCGGAGTATTAAAGTATTGATCCTATTTTGTTTCACACCTTAAAGGTTATAGACATTTTTTTCTGATAAAACATAGATATATATTTTTTTACTACTCATATGTGTTTTTATTTTGCATTTTGCTTTAAAGTCTGAATTTTAGATATTCTTTTGCTTCAATTTCAAACCAGGGGTTGGATATGTTTGAAATATGAATACAAGCACTCAAAAAAATTTAGTTTGAAGTCTAAGAGTGGCTATATCCGAGCGTACGTGTAGTGCATGATTTTCTTTTAATTTTTTTTATTAGATAATTTCGTGGGCCTTTTTGAATAGACGTGTGATATGTTGTATAGTTTATTGTTGTATTTTATAAGGTTTGTTTCGATTCCCCTGCATGATCGAACAAGTATTGCTTCTTACCAGCCAATTTGTAATCACAGAACATCGGTATTTTTAGCATGAACATACAGTGTGTGTTTTTACGTCACAATGGAGGGCTCCATTAAAACCGATGATTCTAGTAATCCTGGGGATAAAAATAGGGGTAAAAAATGCATTTAATCATGTGGAGAGATACATGGACAAAAATAATTGGATATCACTCGCAGGAAGGTACTTTGGATAATTCCAACAGTGACAACAACTTTTCCCTGTACGTGACCTGAAACAGTGACCCTAAAGGCCACGCCCAAATGACAATTGTAATAATCATGTCAAGATCGACACAGTTGAAACTTTTTCCATTGGCAATATTACACATTGGGGGTAACAAAAATGCCAATGACAGCAACTTTATCTTGTACATAAGCCCAGGCAGCAGTCCTTCATATGTTGGCTATGTGATAAAATTAAGCAGAGAGACATGGATAAAACTAACTCAGAATGACTACTTGTACATAGAAAAATGCTGAAAAACTGATGACAACAACTTTTTCTTGTAAGTGACCCTAAACAGTGACCCTAAAGGCCACTCCCAAATGACATTAATCATGTCAAGGGAGACACGGATGAAAATTTTTCCTTTTGGCACTATTACACATTGGGGGTAACAAAAATACCAATGACAGCAAATTTATCCTGCACATAAGCCCAGACAAGGGGCCTCACAGGGCAGTGGCTGCATGGCATTATCATACATAAAGAAAAACTTACTAATACAATATACGCAGTACTGAGTATAGGTGATAAATCCAGAATTATTATTATTATTATATGATAATATGTAACTAAGCCCCTCTCCCACTAGGGGTTTTTTCAGCATTCGAGTTACAAGCGTTTGCCGAGTTGATTACTTGGCAAACTCGGCAAAAACTCGTAGGACGATTCGGAAAGCTCGGAGAAAACTCTTACCTACTCGTAGCAGCTCTGAACTCGTGGCGCTAATTTTGAACATGTTCAACTCGTAACCAACTCCATAAAGTCGTACCTCACTCGTAGCTAACACGTAATAAGCTCGTATAGGTCCTTTCCAAAGATCACGAATTTTTAACTCGTAGAAATCGTGCGACTCTTAGGTGAAATAAACCTAGGTGGGCCGGAGAGGGCTTTTAGTCAGTTGGCTTTTTTTACTTGTATGTGAAAGAAATTGTATAAAAATTTTTTTTAAATTTGATTAAATGTTGAATGCTATTTGTATTTGTCATTACGTTAATCCTATGCATAGGCCTAAATGTTGGTATTCCAATAGTAACCAGACACTTAAGTTACTATTACAACAGTATTATAGTAGTGGGTCAATATTATAGAATAACCTTTAATATGGTGAGTATTACTAATATAGGCCTACATACACATACATATACATATCTCTGTTATTGTCATGCATGATGGACTAGTACTGTAAAACTATGCAGCATGCTAAAGAGTGCGAAGAATTATTTGCTTTAATCGGATCAAAAGCGTTTATCTCTATTATATCATGATTTTTAAATCATTGAAACATCAGACAGTAATACTAAATATAATTGTGGAGCTATGTGTGAGCATACAGTCAGTTGTATGAAAGAAAGTGTCTGGGGATTAGAAGGTAATTCTGGCATCGACATTCTATGCAGGAATATAACATCTTATGTTTCTGTCTGAGCTACACTTAGCCATGTAGCTAGACTCGTTGATCAGGGGAATATGTTCCGAGGGGGTGGGGGAAAGTACTTCAAGGGCACGACCACATCAGTCAGCCCACTTATATGATATATGTGCATATTTAACCACCAGGCACTTTCTCTCATACAACTGACTGAAACGCTCACAAATCTGTACGTATACCATATAGGTGGTCTCAGTGGTCTAATGGATATGACACTCGCCCTGACACAGAGAGGTTGCAGGTTCAAATCCCGCGAGACTTTTTGTTCAAACAACTGAATTTAAAAGGAGATTTTTGTTGAAGGGTAAATCCTGCTGCCATCCCAGTCATAATTATCAGCGTATTTATTAACTTCGATCTGCATAAATAACAGAAGTCCCGGGTTCGAATCTTTTTTTCACTTTCTAAGATTTTCGCCTCTTTATAATAGGCTAATGTTGTGATATTATAGTAAATACGAAACTAAAAGTAATCAAAAAATTTGACAGATTATATTTACTGTATTTGTATAATTTATTCGCATCTTTAAGAAACACAAATGACAATGTAAACATAAATTAGTAACCTTAAAAGAAAAATATCTTAAATATTTAATGTGCGTTATACACACATACGACTCGTACACACGTACGTACAATAATTAAGCTTGGTGTAAATACCCACCAATGTTTTTTTTCTTCCTCTATAATAAGAGTTTGATTCTATCTAATTTAAATAATCACTCAAAATAGTTTATAACAACAACTAAAGGTCTTGCGTGAAATTTTAATAAGCCACTTTGTACTTTGAACTGCGCATGCCCGTGATCAAGGTCAATTGAAATAAACAAACATTCACACAAGATAGGTTTATGTAGATTGACCTTGGATAAGGGCATGTGCATTTCAAACTACAAATTGGCTTATAGGAAGCATGGTTTCCATAAAATCGCTACGCGCTATCGCTGAAAGTTTTGTGGCGACGCTGATTGGTCGGTCAAATCAGGAAGCTTTCTCAATTGCGTAGGGGGTAGCTGCACAGTATGAACAAAGTTGAAAACACTGTAACGACATTGTAGCGTTTTTATGGAATGCAGAGTTTAGTGTGTAAAATGCTGTCAACTTCTTTCTAAAACAACATGGTTATTTTCTAACGCCTATTACTAATAAATAGCATCAATGGTTTCAAATCTATAACAAAATGTGTATTGACAAAAATTTTGATAAATAACTAACATAAAACACCATCTCGGTGGATATCGATACTCTAAAAGCATTCATTATTATTAAATAAGTTATAAAAAGAGCCACGTTAATGAGTTTTGTTTTCTTTAACATAAAATGTTATAATATTAAATACTATTTACTTACAAGACGAAATATCCGTCTACAGTATTTCCCGTGAAGGAAATAACGTTGTGTTTCAAAACAACCTGTACAGCAATTTACTGTCGATTTCAATATACTCAATACTTAAGGCCGTTCTTTCACTACCAGTCGTTATACAAGCGTGTACAAAATTTCAGTCACCAATCAGCGAGCGCGCACCTAAATTAAACTACGCGCTGGATAGTAGCCAATCGGCGAACAGTAAATGATGATGTATGATGACTTTTTTTGTGAAAGAACCACTTCAGTTCTAGTACAGTTAATGTTAGGGTGGCATACAATACTCTGTATTTGTAACATAATTGTTATAATTCTAAATAAATACTGTAAACGATTTTCAAAATCGTTTAGTTTTTTCAAAGCTCCGAATAAAAACATAATAATAAAACATCAACATGATCTTAGACCGTGAGTTGTAAATATATAATAATAATATATAAATATCTGTGTATTTTTATTTACATTAATTATGAACATATCTATACATAAGTACATGGTTTAAGTACCGTACTTTTGGATGTATGTGCAATCGTATATTATTATAATATACGTGTAATATCAAGGTATATACATTTTAAGGTGAACAAAAGCTTAAAAAAATAAATATGTTACCAAAAATCCCACTTTTCGATTTTTTTAAAGCAATAATGCCCATAAAAGATATTATTTATAAATTTGTCCTAACATACCACTCTCATATCAAAATGTCAATTTGACTAACTCTAACATGAAGGTTGTTCGCACTTTTGTAACAAACGCAATCAATCATAAACATAAATGGTGTCAAGGTGTCAAGACAAGGTAAATGCAAATGGCTCTTCCAGGAGTATCAATGAAACTTTAGAATGACCAATTAGAAGAGGGTATGGAGTACGTGTATGCCTCATCAACATAATTGTGTCATGACACGGTTAATGCAAATAGCCCGTTTGGGAATATCAATAAAACTTGAATGTGAATCCACCTCAACCAGAAGGCCTGGAGTACGCGTATATACCCCACCAACATACATTTACGTTGCTGTGTTTTCTTATGGACAATATCTAAGGGCCGGGATTTCGTGGGACGGCAAATACTGTGCATTTAAATAAACCCTTGTAACCGCTTAATTTTAATAAAATTCGGTAGAATACTAAAAAATTAAAATCCTTATTACATCATTACATTGGCATTTACGAATACACAAAGCTTCCAAGATGATCACGTCTGTCGACCTTGACAGCTAACTCTAAACTACTTTTTAATCGGTAGGATTTAGGCCTATGGTGTAATGCCCCTTGATTCAACGAAAGCAAGCAAAGCTAAGACTACAAGCTGGGGACGGCGTTGAGTGTCTACAGCAGATTTTCATCGGCAGTTGTCACCTCTACACTTACAGGACTTCCAAGGTTTTCCGTTATTAGGGACACACTGACAGGCTACCGGCACTTCAACATTTCTCAGCTCGTAACGATAAAGATCGAGCTCCTTGTCAATGGTTTCACTGAGGAACAACATAGGCATCGTATGGTTTACCTGTTGACAGGTGCCTGGACAACCGTGTGTAACGCACTCGACGCAGTCGCAAGCAATTGTTGTCACGGTCATAGGAATTCTAGCTCTGTTTGTGTCAGGGAATGGTATTGACTTACATTCTTTTCTGCCTCGGCTATCATTTACCGCTATATCAGCTGAAATTATATATAAATATATATTTATAGAAATATAGTGGGGCTTTATTCTTGATTTTAAATTTTGCATCTTTACAGTCTAAAGTGTTCACGATACATATGTATGTCAGATCAAAAAAATGTGACTTCATAAAAACTAATGCGAAAAACTGAAACTTCAAAGTATAATTTAAAGTAGTACAGTATATGCATTAATGACATACCGGTAATTATATCAATTGCGATTTACTGACATGTTATTACTATTAATATTATAATTTATCAGTAATGGTTACTTATTATTAAGAAAACATTTTAGCGATCATTGGCATTAAAAACACTTATAAATTATTAATGGTGAAGGGTAGGCAATCAATTAATTATCAATTAAATTATTAAATCACATGATAGTAACTTTGACATTGATAAGCACCTCCACTGATGGTAAACCAAGTTGATAATTCAGGATTCGAACCTAAGACCTTCCGATTACGGTTAGGATACTCTAACAACTGAGTTATGAGGCCAAGTGGTATGCACCCTTGGATTATGCCATTAAGACTCAATTTTTCTCAAGGATTTCATCATATCATTATCATTATCATCATCATCATCATCATCATCATCATCATCATCATCCTCACCATCATCATCATCATCATCCTCACCATCATCATCATTAAGTGATCTGCCAATGACAGGTTCATTGCAACCACTTGCGTCATCTCTCCCGATCTAAAGCTGTTGTCTTTAACAGTTCGTATGTTTTTCCGTTTTTTTTTTTTTTTTTTTTTTTTTTTTTTTTGGTTTTTTTTTTTTTGGTTTTTTTTTTAATGTGTTCAAGGAAAGCACACCTCATTCTTTCTCAAGGATTTATTATCATCAATAGAAAAAATCGATTTGTCTCTTTAATAATCTGTTTATTTTAAAGTTAATTTATTCCTCACCACATTTATTATGTGTTGGTGTGTGGCACGCAACGGTGGCTGTGTCGGCACTTATATTTCCTTTTGCATATATAGCATATGTTTTCTGATGGTGTATCGCTTGTTTGGCTATGACCATGTGGACAATTGAGAGAGCGATGCATACTAATATCGTTGCAATTTTCTGAAAAATAATAATTATAAATATTATTAATAATAATCATAATAATAACAAACCTTATAGTAATAATAATAACAATAAATACAGTACATACAATAATAATAATAATAATAATAATAATAATAATAATAATAGTAATAATAATAATAATAATTATTATTATTATTATTATTATTACGAAAATTAAATATAAATTAGCTGAATTTTGTACAAGACGTTATATAAACATTCTGGCTATTTAGCCAGTAAAAATGCCTAATACTTTTTTAATTGGCTAAATTTTCATGATGATTAGTGACCGGGCGCACTCTAACCATGACCCCTGTGGTTATGGAGGTTGAAGTTATTATGGCTGATTATATGAAGGAAGCACCCTACCTCTAACATAGGGATAGAAAACAAAAAGTAAATTAGGCCTAGCCTACAGCCGATAACATTATGCACAGGTTTCTCTCTAATCAAGGACCCTTCCAAATAAAGACCACCCCCAAATTAGAGACCAAAGCTGCTAAAGACAATGGACAACCCGGTCCCAAACGTGGTCTTTACTTGGAAGGAGACTTGTATTTCGTAATTTGAAAGACAAAATTCACATAATTTTACAATTAAACAAACATTATTAGGAGTTAAAACAATAGCAAAAAAAAGCTGAATACAAAAATGTCCAGTGCTATATAATATTGATGATTTTCCTTATAACGGTTATCTATACTTCCCAGGTAGCAGAAATATATGTCAAATTGTGAATTGTTCTCAATCCAGAATCTACAGTACCGTACTTAGAAGGGAATTCCCCTTTTCAGCAGATTGTCTCAAACAAAAGCCTGGTACAATGTAAATCTGACGTAAAGCTTTGTTTACCCATTGATATCGTGAATTTGCATGGAAAAGGTCAGTTTAATGTGAACTGTTTTCTTCGCTTCGCTGTTCGAAAAAGCAAAGTAATGAACCGTATGCATTTTGGTGGTAAAAGAACTTGTAATATTGAGAGCCATATTCATCATATGTTTTAAGCTACTGAATCTAGTGCATAAAACGGGATTGAAAAGGGACAAAATTAGAGGTTAGTGTGAACGTTCCTGTCAGTTCTATGAGAGAAAATGCCGGGGGTTAAATCTGCAAGTACTGTAACCGGCTCAATGACGCATTCGGGACTTCCCCGATTTTATAAACGCTATGATCTGTCTCTTATACACATCTAGATGTGTATAAGAGACAGGTTCTATATAAAGCAAAAATAATATAAATAATGTTTTATACAAATTTATATGACTTTTTACTGGAGAATAAACATATTACACTGTATTTTCAATTTCTTCCTTATGCTATACTCCAAACCACCCTTGTATGCGTGGCATTATGCCTTTCTATATACCCTTCTTCTTATATAGCATTTGCAGTACCCGCTGTTACTTGGGGATCAAATGGTGGTCAAATGTTTATGACACCATGCTAGTTATCTGGAGGTTGTGGGTTCGATTCCAACCCAAATCACTTGGGATTTTTTTCGGGAACGTACTGAGTATTCGGTATGATAACACTCCTACGCTTCCTTTTCTTCACGTTTTAGGGCTAACTTCATTACAACCTGAAGTCTCTTTCCCTACTTCCCATTTTTAAAATTGCCATATAAAATCATGTGCATTGTTATTGTACCAAAGTCATTGTTCGGTATCAGTAAACAAATTTAGTTCTACGTATGGTATACGGTACCTGTCGGCATCGCTCGCAACCCGGAAATACAGAAACAGATAGGATTAATTATTTTAATTTTATCCACCTAAATATAGGACCAGATCCGTATATTCCCATGACTAGACAAGATAACTCAAACCACTATTCGATCACAATACTCCATAAAACAAACTACAAATTTGTTTGATGAATTAGTATGAGAAAACATATAGGTGTAACTACTACATCCTACTTTCATCATTTACAGTGACTAATCAGGGATATTTGAAGGGTGGCCCAGAAGGTAATCAAGACCTCCTGGTCGCATAAACTTGTAAAAGAAAAAAAAGAAAAGAAAATCAAACTGTGTCCTCAAAACTCCGGAACGGACGGAGACACTTCGTCCTCTCCTCCACTGTGTAATAGTAGGGTCCGAAGAGAATCCTTAACGAAAATGGTCCATGGGGGGTGGTGGGGCGGGTTAGGGTGTTTCCTTACCTAGGGGTCCAGGGGAAATGGACGCTCCTGAATTTTAGCCAGTTTAATCTGTTATTTTAATTATTTCATAATTGGTTTTAGATTTCACCACCCCAACACCCCCCCCCCTCTCTTACCCATTCTCACCCCAACTTTGAGCAATTTTGAGAAATTTTGTCAATGACACATAATTGGTTTTAGATTTCACCACCCCAACACCCCCCCCCCTCTCTTACCCATTCTCACCCCAACTTTGAGCAATTTTGAGAAATTTTGTCAATGACAAAAGTGTTTTTCAAATAATATGGCAATTATAAGCAGTACCAGTACTGCATGTATTTCGCTAAATTTAAACTGAATGAAGAATATCTATAACCCTCTGGGTATCCCAATCAACTTGCGAAATATGCAGTAGGCCTACAGTTGGAAAGTGTTTTCCTATAATTAGCCCTAATTTAACTGATTTGTTAATACGAGCTGAATCAGCACCAAATCACACCTAGTTATGTAGGCCTATGGCGAATTATAAGGAACATTACTTACCGTCATTGTAAATGCTAGTATCGCGTAATTAAGAAGTATATAGGAGAGTAGGCCCTAAGCGTATTAATTGACCAAATGACTAAATGACTGAGTGTGCTTAATTATTTATACCGTTGTTGACGAAAAAAAAACCCGGCTCAATGACGCATTCGGGACTTCCCCGATTTTATAAACGCTATGATTGGTCAAAACATTCTACCAGTTTAGATATTTCTATAATTAGAATACTCTAATAGAATGAAGTAATTATTTAAATTTGTCTAGCAGTAGTCTAAAAATGACACTTTGTTTATGTATCTATTTTATTATCGTATTTATTTATTCGCAGTGACATATTTAGCAAATAAACGATCTTAAAGCATTCTAATATACTGTAATATCGCAATAGGCAAACAAGTAGCTGAATAGTCTAATTAACAGAAAATATAAGTACAATGACTGCCCTCTTGGATGCGGGCCTCCCAATGGTTCCCAGTAAACCTTGTACTTATAAACTTCAACAGAAAAAATATGTTTCATATATGAATCCGATAAAATGCTTTATCATGTATTATATCTCCGAGACTTGATGTTTGCATATAGTTGAGAAACTTCCTTATCTATTCGATTTTACAAGCGTAGTAATTAATAAATTTAAAGAGCTTACAGAAAAACCTACATATTCCATAAAATCAAATCCAAGGTTGTTAAGAGTTATCAAGCTCAAAAACTTCGAAATCTGGATTGAACTATGCCTAATAATGAAGTTTTGTGCTCATTCAGTTTGTTTTGTGGATTCCAATGGTAGCTTGGAGTGAAAAACGATATTTCAATAATACTTGATATAAACTAAATTTGAAATTACAGTAAATATTTGATAAAAAAAATAACTGGCCTACGTTTATTAAGCATATAGGCCTATACAAAAACCATGACTTAATATTCTCTTTAAGAGAAGTATATATGTAAGAATAATTTTAACTGAATCGTTTAGATAGGTGGTAAAAAATACCTAATATTAATTAGTACCAGCCGTAACCATGTGGTAGTAGGTTTACTTATCAATGATTTCCACCATAAAGCGTTGAAATATTGAAATAATAATTATTATCCGCTTATTTTCCTACGGAATGATTAAAATAATTGAACTTAAAACTGTTACTCAAACCACTAGGGTATGTGATCACACCTAAGCCCGTTTTAAGAAATACATTATTCTATGTTCGGAGTAAAATTATGTTTCTAGTAGCACACGTCAGAGCCATGTAGGCCTAGGCCTGAGCTTTGAGCTGTTAGACGATATTATGCTGCAACAAAATTTGTAGAATGGGATTTTAGCTAGTAGAGTTGTAGAGTCAAGCTTAACGTATAAGGCATGATGAACGGACATAGGCCGTTCTAAGTTCTAGTATGTCGAAGTTAGGCCTATACACCTTACCTGCATTTTGGCTGGTATTCTCACAATCGGTTTGAGTGGGTTAACACTGAAAATGAAGGTACTGACTTACTCACGGTATTAAGGGTCCTTATATGCTAAAAAACTTAAAGGCATAGTCCTAAAAATAGAAGTGTCAACGATATGGATCAGTGAAGCATTCGGTACTTCCCCGATTTGATAAACGCTTATTGGCCAATCGTTGGTGCATCACTATTTAAATTCTAGAAATAGAGAAAAATAAGTAATGATAATTATCTATTTAAAAGATAATTCTGCAAAGGACATCATTTTTTTTTCTGTGGTAAATTTATCGTTTGAAATAATTACACATAAAATACATGGCGTTGGGTCAACACGTGACAGAATAAACTGAATGAAAAAAAATTTAAGAATGACGTTGACTTTTACTTTTTTACTTTGTCGAGCGCCTTTTAACAGTATTAATGGATACCGGCGCTATATAAATGCATTTGATTGATTGATTGAAGAATGTGATGTTCTTATCTCTAGGAATTATCTTAACATTCATAGTACCAAATTTTCAAAATATTACCAGCATTTATTTATAGCTTATTTCCGTTACATAAATTCAACATCGATCATTATTATAGGTATATATCTCAAGAATGTTTGTGATTTCATTTCATTTTTATGTCTTTTATATAATACAAATGTATAATATTAAGAAGCAAAATACTGGAAAACAATGCTGGATCTCGACAGAGGTACAAAATTGATAGGCTAAAGCTTATGTGTAAACGTTGGTGAAAAGCCAGACACAGTTTATATTAGAAAGAGTTATGTAATTTTTTTTAGGTACAGAGTTGGAATAATAATAGTAATAATAATAATTATGCTGTCTCTTATACACATCTAGATGTGTATAAGAGACAGTATATATATAAAACACGGCCTAATATATATATATATATATATATATATATATACAAATGGATAAATAAATAATAATAACAGTGTTCAAATAGCAACAAGATGTTATAATAAAATAACATATGTATATATGTAAATGTATAATAATATATATAAATTATGATGATCTGCATAAATCATTATATATATATATATATATATATATATCATCGTAAATCCACGTGTGTTCTTGAAATTATATAATAGAAAGTATAGCAACGAGTCATGTGGACACTATGAGCATACTTATTTATTTTCAAAGAAACCTTTGGTCTCCTTCATCTTATAAAACTAAATGACAAAATGCTTTAAGATGGAAGAGTAATTATACATATAGACAATGGTACTGTGATAGGGCTAGAGTTAAGTCCCATTATCACATAGTGTATGTATCATTCACTCAATTACTAATCCGAAATCAAAGCAGTGAACTGTGATCTAATACGTGTAAAATATCTAAAAGTCGAATAACAAATATAGATATAATGATGAATATAGGCCTATAGGCCTATATTATATAAATAGGAGATAATATAAATGGTATAATACAGTAGGCATATGTATGATTATGACGAATGGAAAGAGCTGATACAATATAATTGTATGGAAAGTTATAGTCACTAAGGCATATAGTGTGGGTTTTGTGCTTGAGAATGAGTTTAAGTTCGGTAATACGGCGATCTTTCAATGATGTAAAGTTGTTAACTATAAAAGCGTACATTTAATTTCATTTATGCTGTGATTGGGATTTTAAATTGAGTGGCAATAGGTAGGTTTTTATTTGTGTGGATTGATGATTTGTGGTTATTAAACCTACTTCAAAAGTGGCACTGGTTTCTCCACTGTAGGTACCGTGATCACATACGCTACATGTTATAACGTAAATACCGTTATACGAGTTACATGGACGAGGAGGAGGGTGAATTTTGTGATTGGTGATCGAGAGTGAGATGTGCTATCTTTTACAATATGCTTGTACATTTTATGTTACCATGTGAGGGGTGCTGTGGTGGTGCGCAATGAATGCCGTAGCCAGGATTTCCAAACAAATCCAAATAATGTGGACCCATTTTTTTTTAAACCCATTTTAAAAAATGTGGCATCATTTTTTGTGGACCCAATAGAAAATTGTATGGGACTGTCCCTACTGTCCCAATAACTGGATATGGCATTTGGTGGTGCGTGAAGATATTATTAGAAGGATTTTCAAGTTGGGTGGTTGATGGTGAGCGAGGAGAGGCGGGGAGTCGTATGCTAGTGTTGTATAGATTTGTCAAGTTTAAGATAAGCAAAGTCCTTTTTAATGGTGCTATAACGGTCGTGGTGGAAGGGTGAAATTCAAAAATGAGGGTGATGCGTTCGGATGGCTTTTTGGGCTTGTATGAAGTAAGTCTAGAAAGGGCAGGGATGCACGAGATTGTTGTAGTGTTATATGAGGATGAAACGTATTGGCATGGGCTTCAAAGAGCTTCAGTGTATCGGCACCATGCGGCCATATGATGAATATGTCATCTAGGCCTATGTATGTTTGAGGTGGAAATATGAGATAAGTTTGTTTTCAAGTTCGGCCATGAATATAGGCCTATTAGCGTATTTAGGGGCCATTCTTGTTCCCATTGCTGTGCCTTTTATTTGTAGATAGTGAAAATTGCTAAAGGGGAAATTGTTATGTGTTAGAATGAAGTTAGTGATGGCCACAATGTCATTGACTTTATCTAATGGGAGTGATTTTGTGGTAAGGAATGATTTTGGGGCGTCTAGTCCGTCGGAGTGAGGGATGTTAGATTAGAATATAAATATGATACGTCCATGGTGACAAGAATGGGATTGTTAGGTAACGGAGGCCCAGTCATTGAGGATGTTCAAGAAATGTGTGCTGTCTTTAACGTAGCTAGGGATGGATGGTATGAAGGGTTTAATTATTTGGTCTACATAGATAAATGCTCCGTAAGATTACCTTTCGAAGAGACTATGGGTATTGGTGTCTACCTGGGGGCAGTGGCGGCTCTAGAATATATTTTTAGGGGTTGGTGGGAGGGGGAATGAGCTGTTCGATGGTGGGGACTTGTGCTCATAGGCCCGAGCTGAAGGAAGGGTTTGAGAGGGTGTTTCCCCTCCCAGTCCGACTGCCCGACGAGCTCTGTCCGATGGGGGGGCTTGACCTGTCTGTTGTGGAGCTGAAGCCCCTGTCCAAATCTGCATACAACGTTGTTTCGTCCTTTAAGGACTCATCAGTGCAGCTCAGATAAATTTGAGATTGAACCTTAGCTATGAAACAAGCAAGCTTGTAACAAGGCAGTTTAAAAGCGCTCGTATATATACACTGTTATTTTGAAGGAGTTATTTTAACTCCAAAGGAGTTATTCTGTACCTGAAAAAAGGTACAGAATAACTCCTTTCGAGTTAAAATAACTCCTTCAAAATAACAGTGTAGCAGTATTAGTTAGACGTCTAGCAGTATTAGTTAAACGAAAATCATTTGGTTGTTTTATTCAAACTGCATTCTTTTGGATGATTGTGTAAAATCAAACCGGGTGTAATTGTAGATAAATTAGACCTAGGCCTATACAGTTACAGCTGCGGATGCCGCAACACCGGCTGCGTATTGTCATGCGATGGCATGACATGTTTTGAGCGCCTCCAGTGGCGTATTTAAGATTTTTAAATGGAAAGAGGATGACAGGGATGCTAAAATGAAGTGAGGGCTCGATAATAAGGGGATGCTAACTGGCAAAATAAGGTGGTAATTTGTTTTTGTGTTGTTTTGTGTTGATTTGTAACTTCTTTAGCCTAACTTTTTTGCTTCAATAATTCCAGTAGGGGTAAGCTT